CAGACACACTGACTCATTGCATGGAGTGCAGACACAGTGACTCATTGCATGAAGTGCAGAACATCATGGCTCAGTACATGGAGTGCTGAGCACCATGGCTCAGCACATGGAGTGCAGTGCAACATGGCTCAGTACATGGAGAGCAGAGTTCTGTAGCTCAACATAAGTGCTGAGCACCGTGATCAGTACATGGAGTGCAAAGCATCATGATCAGTACATGGAGTGCAGAACACTATTGCTCAGAGAATAAAGTGCACAGCATTGTGACACCGTACATAGCGTGCAGAGCATAGTTGCTCAGTACATGGAAAGCAGAGCACTGTGGCTCAGTACATAGAGTGCTGAGCATCGTGATCAGTACATGGAGTGCAGAGCACCGTGACTCATTACATGGAGTGCAAAGCATCGTGACACAGTAAGTGGAGTGCAAAGCATCATGCCTGAGTACATGGAGTGCAGAACACAGTGGATCAGAGTACATGGATTACAAAGCATTGTGACAGAGTGTACATGGAGTGCAAAGCATCCTGGCTCAGTAAATTGAGCAATGCACAGTGGCACAGGATGCAGAACATTGTTTTATACAGAGTACAGAGCATTGCACAGTGGCACAGGATGCAGAACATTGTTTTATACAGAGTACAGAGCATTGCACAGAGGTATAGGATGCAGAACATTGCTCTATATAGAGTACAGAGCATTGCACAGAGGTATAGGATGCATAACACTGTTCTATACTGAGCACAGAGCTTTGCACAGAGGTATAGGATGCAGAACGCTGTTCTGTATAGAGTACAGACCATTGCAAAGTTGTACAGGATGCAAAGGGTTGTACTATACAAAGTACAGAGCATTGCACAGAGGTACAGAATGCAGAGCAGTGTTCTATACAAAGTACAGAGAATTTCACAGAGATACTGGATGCAGAGTGTTGTTCCATACAGAGTAAAGAGCATTACACAGAAGTGCAAGATGCAGAGCAATGTTCTATACAGAGTACAGAGCATTACACAGAGGTGCAGGAAGCAGAGGGTTTTTCTTTACAGAGTGCAGAGCATTGCACAGAGGTAAAGGATGCAGAGCCTTGTTCTATACAGAGTGCAGAGCATTGCACAGAGGTAAAGGATGCAGAGCCTTGTTCTATACAGAGTGCAGAGCATTGCACAGAGGTAAAGGACGCAGAGCCTTGTTCTATACAGAGTGCAGAGCATTGCACAGAGGTAAGGGATGCAGAGTGTTGTTCTATACAGAGTGCAGGGCATTGCACAGTGGTACAGGATCCAGAGTACTGATCTATACAGTGTGCAGAGCGTTGCACACACATATGTGTCATGAAGGGTTGCATGCAGTGTGAAGATGACGCACACAGAACACAGCTCAGATCATGGCAGCACGTTAGAATAATCAAGTGAACCCATCCTCCATAGCAGTCCATCAGCCACAGAGGTCCCTGAAGCAGGTCCCTACTCAGTGACCCCACTAGCTCCTCAGCATCATCCACATTCCCAGCATGTACAGCTGCATCATCCCTTCTCCACCATCTATCTGCGCAAAGCCCCGGAGAGCCCACACAGCCCACCAATAACCCGGGCACACAGCTTACCCCACAGCTGCATATTAAACACACCATACAGAACAACATGCATTGGGGGTGCAATGCACAGAAATTTCATTTATACATGGGGGGGGGATTGCACAGAAAACTGATTAAATACTATATTGTCAAGGCGAGGAGGGAGAGCCACACACAGCTAATACTGCTGGAACTGGAGTCCTGGATCCAATAAGGGGGATCTGTACATCACACAAGGGTTCATCCGGAGGTACTGAAGCTTTTGTAGGACCTGTGTGACCTCTGACCTGCCTAGAATCTTATTATTATTCGCAGATGTCAGTGAATGTGCAGTCCCTTCACTGCAGGACTCTAGGGCCATGCGATGGTAAAAATGGGCACTCCAGGGTTTTTGTTTTTTGTTTTTGCAGAACTAGAAGTCCCAGCATGCCTTTCAGCACTAAAAAGTGAACTGCTCCCCCACTGCGCAGCTCCAAATCTGGGATCTGTAGGGCCCCAGCTGCTGGAGTGGTGAACAAGGACAGGCATGCACCTGTCGATTTGTAACAAGCGTGCCAATCAATTTAGAGCGATCGTTCAAAGATTGAGCGTCAACATACACGGGTGATTCATAATCAATCTGTTTCCATAGGATATCTTTTAAAGGTGACGTCTTTCATGAAAAGGGACTCCATTAGGCTAGAACGATCTCTTGTATGGTCAAAAGTGGTCGTGTGCAATTTATTGGACACTATGACCTACCAAAGCTAGCCATTAAGCTCCCGATACACATTACTATCTGATTATACAATTTTATTTTGATCTACCAACAGGTATAGAGTGCAAGGACCTGATGACTGGATACAAATTGATTGGATGGATTAGGTAGGTCCTCATTTTACACAGTTTGGGTAAATCTAAATTTGATTGTTACAGAGATTATATGGCCAGATTGTATCATGTATGTTGAACTTTAAAAGCTAAACATAGATTAAATTTACCATCACACCTGATGGCCTGAACCTCGATAACGCAGCAGAATATGTAATCAGGCGCAGACAGTCACAGCGTTTAACATCAACAGTTTTAAAAGATTTGATTAAGCTGTCATAGTTGCTAATTTATCAGCCAGCTAGATCTGTAGTTGTATGGACACCATTAACACAATGAACATTCAGTGATCATGTGACGACCCCATGACATCCCAGCCGTCCCTGGGGCCGGAGAGGTCCTGGTCACAACACCCAGATCAGAGAAAGCTGAACAACCATATTTTTTCCAGCAGGTAGGTGCCCCACCACTTAGTCCCCCCTTGTATATAACAAGAGAATTCTTGGGATAAGGTAAGTCAGGCTCTGTATAAAGGAAGGTAAATGCCTCTTTGTCTTATAGAGGGTAAGAAGTCAGGTTTCCATCCCTCTTACCCTTCCTAAAGATGGTAGGTACCCTTAGTTGTCGTCGTTCCCCCTCAGTTCTAGAAGGTAGTGCCTTCTCTATGTAACAGAAGGCAAGAACTCCTCTTTTTCTCATAATAGGTAAGTCCTCATTTATATTATTAATGGTAAGTCCCTCTCTCACTTATAGAAGGTAACC